TTTTTCATCAGTCTTCCACAGATCAAAGCATAGTGGACACAGATATTCCCTACAGATTAGCTGGATTAGTATTTGCCCTTATTCAGCTATTGAGTATCATTCTCCTTATGTCGCAAACTGCCTGGCAGGTCTTTTTTCTCTTCCTGGTTATTCTGGCCATCTCCATACTGTATCAGGCAAGAATACTCACTATCTTAAAGATTTTCGCTTTAGAGTTCAACACGCTGAAGAAATTTATGCAGCATAACACAGTTCCAACAAAATCATGTATGCAATTTTGAACTATCTAATCAATGGATATTATAACGCTTAAAATCAAATCTGAAGCTTTACAATTGAGTGTCTATACATGGCATGCGCACCAATTCGTTTTGTTAGTATGTTTATCCTTAGATGCTGAAACATCAAATCTTATTGCAGGATTATTACATCACCACTGCTAGAGAACTAGCCAGGATGATTGGGATACGAAAAGCTCCAATCCTTCATCATTTTTCAGAGTCCATTAGTGGGCAGCAATAGTTCGATGCTTCAATGAGGAAGTTCGCTTCTTGAAGAATATTTTAAGCCTCATTGATGCTTATTCTTGTGTCTCTTTCCACAACTCTGCAACAATGGAATGGCTATGCCTTCGAATCAACTTTCTCTTCAATCTTGTCGTCTTCCTTCTTCTTATCATCTTGGTGAACCTTCCAAAATCAGCCATTGACCCCAGTAAGCTCCTTCTCTCCCCTTTGTTTTTGTCCATCTAATAAGCTAAGAAGAATAGAGGTCACCTTGGAGTGAGTTTCACATAAAGTTTTAGGATTGTGTATTTACAACTAAACTTGTATTTAAGGTGCATCCTAGCTATGCATTAAATTCAAGTTCATCATTCATGTTACAGGTAAAAGTCATTTCTAACAGAAGCAGACAGCAGCAGTTAAAGCACACTAAGGAAATTTTAGGAACTTTAGAATCACACTCGTATGACATACCATTCACCTCCATCCTGCTCCACTTTTTTTTTTTAACCGATATAATTCAGATAAACGACTGCAAACAGTCTGCTGTCTTTGCAATTATTAGTAAATTATATTGCAATTCTGAGTTTGATTTTGAGCTTGCTGGGTTTTGGGAATACTGAATCTAACGTAATAAACTAATTGATCTGATAACAGGCTTGGCAGGACTGGCAGCTACATATGGTTTGAACCTAAATGTTCTCCAGGCTTGGGTTATATGGAACCTTTGCAATGTAGAGAACAAAATGATCTCAGTAGAAAGAATTCTTCAGTTCACAAACATACCAAGTGAAGCACCACTCGTAATTGAAAATTTTAGACCGGAGCCTGATTGGCCAACCAATGGAAAAATCGAGCTTGAAGATCTCCATGTCCAATATAGTCCTGCTCTCCCAAGAGTGCTGAAAGGAATCACTTGCACCTTCCCGGGGGAAAAGAAAATTGGTGTTGTGGGCAGAACTGGAAGTGGAAAGTCCACTCTGATCCAAGCTCTCTTTAGGGTGGTGGAGCCCTCAGAAGGGCGGATTCTGATTGATGGAGTAGATATTTCAAATATGGGATTGCAGGATTTGAGGTCTAGGTTGAGTATAATACCCCAAGACCCAACTTTATTTCAAGGAACCATGAGGACCAATCTTGATCCTCTGCAACAGTGCTCAGATCATGAAATCTTGGAGGTAGCGATTAAAAAAGTTATATCGTTTTTCTTACATGACCTTATGTACTTTGAGTTTAACTCCACTAAATTGATGTGCCAGGTTTTGAACAAATGTCATCTTGCAGGGATAGTAGCGCAGGATTCAAGGCTTCTTGATGCACCAGGTACAAAAACATGACAAACATGATGATGATGGAGCAGGACCTCCCCCTTACACCCCCCCGCCTCCTTCCCTTGTGGGGATCCCAAATCCAAATTAGATATAGAAAATCTGTTTTATAAATTGATGAGGTTGTCTGATCTGATATTTGGACATTGGTGCAGTTGCAGAAGATGGAGAAAACTGGAGTTTGGGACAAAGGCAGCTGGTATGCCTGGCCAGGGTTCTGCTACAAAGGAGGAGAATATTAGTATTGGATGAGGCTACAGCCTCGGTGGATACAGCGACAGACAACGTGATTCAGAAGACAATAAGAGAACAAACAAGCAGATGCACAGTCATAACAGTGGCCCATCGGATACCAACCGTTATTGACAATGACTTGGTTCTAGTTCTAGATGAAGGTAAGGATGACAAACCCAACAGCAACAGAAATTCTCTTGCATATAGGAAAATCTTAGGATTCTTAGTGAGGACAAGCATTTAACTGCCAGTAAAGCACATTCTCATTTTTTCCACATAGATCTACATTGATAACTCTATGCATTACTTGTTTTGGAAGAGGATGATACAATTTAAATAGGAACTACAAAAGCTAACAATTTGATGTGATGTTAGTGTGAGATAGATCAAGTCGCTCACCGGTTTCATCTTGATTAATACAGGCAGCGTTGTTGAGTATGACTCCCCAGATCGGTTGCTGAGGGATAATTCTTCCAAATTTTCGAAGTTGGTAAGGGAATTCTTGAAAAGATCATCTGATAGTAATCTTCATTGGGATCTTACTTGAAGCCAGTGTGGAGATTGACTTGAAGCTCAATCATGTGCAAAGATTCAAGATATACGAAAAATATTTCAGTGTCTCAATCTGACATTGTAGCATCCACAAGTTTCTGACTCATTGTTAAAAATGAAGCACTGAGCAGCAACAACTCGAATGACAACAATAGCAGTGATGAAAACTGCAAGAGCCCATGAAGCAAACCTAACAGTAACCAGAAGAATATAAACGTTCTACTTCAAGACCACATATCCCGCCTTTCAGAATCTCAAAATGCTGAAGTGATATACCTCGGAAAGAATATATGTAACACTCTTGTCTTGCTACGAAAATTACATGCAAAGAGTTTTCCCAACTAGTCTAGGTTGTCTACAATCGTGCTACAATAGTTTCAGACAGGAACCATCAATATATTTTGCCGTTGTCGCGAATATCATTAATTGTGCATACGGATTTTCATTGCCAAGTGTGCTTTCAGTGGTTTTTACAGTTAAATTTAAGAATAGCTTCCTCGATGATGCTAAAACTTTAGACTATAATGACTTGGACATTCTCAAGAGTCAAGATTTACTTTCCTGAAGACATTTACTTTCATCTGGTTTGCATGATTTCAATGTGCAGCATGTGTAATTGGGTATGATGAACATCTATATACAATGTAAACGAAGTTAAGATTTTGAAATCGCATACTAATTACAGTGAGTTATATTGTGGATTAGCTAAAAATGAACATCTCCAAGTAATTTGATAAAAAGAAAAGGTGAATTTTCAGATGAGAGAGAGGAAGAAGGTAATTCAATAACCTCTTCTGCTTTCTACAAAACAGTCTAAAAAATGCTATCTATCCTTGGAGCCATCAACAAAGGGTATCCATCCTTGGATCCTCAGGTTCCATGTAAGAAATGGTTCCAACTTTGAGCTATAAGCTTCAGTTAGTTGAGCAGTTCACATTCTCACAACCCTATATGAGTGCCTTCAGCAAAATTTAGAATTCTTGTCAGCAGGGAGATCTTTAGAACCTTCTTTCTCCCAAATGTGAGAAAATCAATTGGCTGACATTAACATATTTGGCTCAACCTGAAGCTGGAATTAAAAAAAAAAATTCTCCTTTCAAAGCTGGACATAAAATGTATTAAAGGTCATATCTGCTGCATTAGTAGATGACCAATTTCAAACTTTACATTCCAGAAAAACTTCAAGCATATTGAGTCCACACTTGCCTTTCTTTTATCTGGAAGCTCCATTAGTGACGATTTTGTGCTTTCTATATGTGGCCTCAGTCTTTGTATTCTCTCTTTCCCTTTTTATCCGAACTCTTGAAAGTTCTGGCCTGGACCAAACAGCTCAAAGGTGTTGAAGGCGAACCCACCTACCTTTATTTGATGTTCCACGTTCTCCTTCCCTCATCCTGTTGTCACTATTAATATTAACAAAATACTTTCAGTGATGCATACATCGGTTTCCCCACTTTAGTATTAATATACAGAGTGCTATATGATTCAATAAGAGTAGCAATTCATTGAAATATCTGAATGTTCCGTCATTAATCACCAGATCATGTCAGTGCAAAAGCACCAGTTATAAGCAACAAACACAAGTCTCAGGACCAACTTGCAGATATAAACCTTATTTCTGTAATGGGGATGAAAACAAGCATCAACAACTTAACAATCCAAGAAAAACATAACAGGGTGATTCACTACTTCCTAAATTCCAACAGAATCAATGGCCAAAAGCTATTTGGAGGATCAAACTCCAAGCAAGGTAGACAATCTCAACATCAGCTTCATTTTGGATTTGAGAAGAAACCATTGACGTTTGGCATAATCTCAGGGCGCCTGCCACGAACGAATTTCCTTAGGCTATGTTGTGAATAGCGCTCACCCTCTGCAAAGTTGTCGAGCACTCCTGCAGCTCTGTTCTCCTTTTTAACCCTGAAATCAATTTCCAAAGTAGGCCTGTCAATACATTTTTGATCAATTGTAATTTCTGTCTACCCCAATGATACAATGAACAAATTACTCAAGTCCAACAGAATTCCTGACATAACACAAACACATATGGATTTAAACACTGCAGTTTTTATTTCTTCTTTTACAATTTACAGCATAGAAACATAAAAATTCTGTGTCGCAATCACTTGTCATTGAGTTTAAATCCACTGATGGCCTTGTGCGTCGAAACTGAATGTTTGGTTCCAGTTTGATCTTTAAAACACCCCTATTCCATGGCTGAAATGATACTTTTTTTTTTAAAAAACGCATACCTCACTTCAGGATTGGTAGTGATATTCCTTATGAGTTGCATGCTGCAAATGCCAACCACTGTGCCAACTGCTGCAAAGATTGGGTACGCCTTTCAAGAGGAAAAAGAGAAAAAAAAACATGGTTAATAAACAGTTTTCAAGTACTCTAGGGCTCCTATGGTGTTGGAAAACCGAAAACCTTCAGTAATGTATTCCCGGATAAAATAAGAGGAAACAAGACTCTTCAAAATAAATAGAACTGGAGAATGAGCACACATCAAAGGGGTAGCTACCAGGTAGAATGTGAGAATGAAAGCAGTGAGTTGACATTGTAAGCCCAAACATACATGTGCTGGCACTTAACATCACAGAATAGTTTCTCAAACAATGCAATGTCTTGCAAAAGTAATACACATTCAAATCCAAACATGGAATTGACCTAATACTGTAGTCATTCACAAAGGATGTCCTTGTTTTTTCTTGAACGCAATTTCATAGGAGGACAAACACTGGCCAGATATTTGATAGCTGTCTTTGTTGTAAACAAGGTTATATTCACTTCTTCAGCATTTTTCAGTTCATCTTGCAATTTATTTTCTTTCGATCAGTAGTTCAATTGCAGGATCCGTCCTAGGTGTCCATGCTTATTGACTTTCAAAATGACGAGCAATTTAAGATTCTGCATAGCATAAAAAGAAAGGGGAAAGAGACTAAGGGTCTGTTTAGTCTGTTTCTTTGGGAGAGGAGTTTAAAAAATGTGAAAAAGAAAGCCTACTTTCCCCCTCTAAGCACATATGTTAGGGAATTAACAATTATTTTCAAAGTCCTAACACAGAAGTCCAGCACAGGAGGAGGAAAAAGCGCGGGTTATTTGATAACACTAGAACATGTCATGGCATGGGAAGGTTTATATTGCTTAGTGAGAATTCAATCCATGGTAAGTTCTATCCCTGGAAAAAAAAAAAAGTGCTTTGGAAACAGAATTTTTAAGGAGAATTCTCATACGAAATAATATGGCAGTGGCTTCTTCACAAACAACCATGATGTGAATGATTTTATTGTTTCGAAATGAAAGAATTCCAACAAACGGTTTTTGATATCAAGTTTATGTTTGTGTAGTATTATTGTTGATGAGGATGTAGATAATCATTCATGATTGATTCCATGTAATAGACTACGAACACTGATGGAATCAGAAGATTACACAACAAAGGAGTTAAATGCAATATAGCAGCTGAATATATGCATAATTTAAGGCCCAAACAAAAATTACACAAATTTCATTAATAAAAGTTCATGATTTTCTAGACCGGGGGCTATGGTCCCAAGTTTCAACCTACCTCTACTCTATGGCAGACCTTAGCTCGAAATTGTAACACTACTTCAAATTCTGACTAATATGTATATAATATGAATGTGGGTGCTTGAAGAGTTGTAGTTGTAGTTGTACCTCAGGCCTCAGCCATCTCTTCACGAGGGTGGAAGAAGCCATGTTTGGAGCTGCAAGGAACGAGAAAGAAGAACACAACCCTGTGGTAGCTTCCCACAAAGAATTTTCAAGGAGAAGCACCACATGTTGACCATCTCTAGCTGATATATTTATACATTCCTACAATCCCAAAAATGTTGGATAGATTTGTGTACCAAAATAAGGACAATTTTCTGGCCAACCAGAATGTTCTGTGGTGGGACTCAAAATAAGGGAATTTTCAAGCCTTAGTTCCATCCAATGTTCCTAAATTTCTGGGGGTCGTTACTCACCAACTTGAATACGGGAGTACCCAGATTGATTAGTCCAATAAGGTGTGCAATTGCATTGGAATTTTCTTGTGGAGAAGACAATTGGTTCAAGTCTTTTCGGCAGCAATGATGGGGATGGGAAATTGTAAAATCCTGACAGACAAAATGTAGCCTTACAGATAAAGTTGAATTAGCGGGTTTTATTGACATCTGATTATTACGGTCATATATTGTCACTTTATAATAAAAATTTCATAAGTAATACAGTCGCTAAATATTGATTAGATTTCTCCATTGTGTCACAATTTCTCCATTTAGAACAAAAATATGTTGGGAGGGAAGAGAATGGTGCATCTTTGGATGTCTAAATGGAAAAGCACTGAACAAATGTCATGTCCGGTGATGCAAATCGCATGGCAATACAATACTTAAATTAATGGGATCGATATTTGAGTGGTTCGGGCCGGTCAAATATTTGACCTTTTTAGAAACACTTCCACGTTCAAGAATTTTCAAACACCTATGTACAATAAATAATAACAAAGACAAAATAAACTCATCGCACCCTGACCCTACCAGGGGATTGGATGACCCAGAGTGAATTTTTAACAAATTCCTTCATTTAGGTCTGAAAATGGCATTTTTTTACCTTTTTTAGTAATATTTTGTAATTAAATAGTTTTACCGTCTAAAGTTATAATTGATCGCTATCAATTTTGGCTTAATCTAGGTGATTAGTAGTTTTTAGCAATATAATTAATTTGATAATTTTTTTTTGGGCAAAATATGTATTAATGACCTAATTATGTAATTAATGATAATTAGGTCATATTTATTTATTTCCTAATTAGTTTAAGCTTTGAGCACTATTTATTCTCTTATAAATCGTAGAGTTAAATAGTTTTTGATTGATTAGTACAATTAAGGGAGTTGTCTCTTTTATTATCAATTCTTATGATATTTTATAGGAATCAACAAACTTAATAAAATCTTTTGTGAATTAACAGACGTAAAATAGAATTCTAAATTAATATTTATATGCAAATCAACGATTTGATCTCTTTATTCCTTTTCATTCATTAAATACCCTTATTTTACTCGCTTCCCTTATTCTAGTACAATTCTCATATATGAATGTATTGTAATTGGGCTTTAACTCTCCTTGTTATGAAATTCATAGGCTCATGAAAATTCAAAATTCTAGTGTGAAAGTCTCCAATTATGGTATGGAAGAAGGCATTTTGACTTTTGTCTTTTTATATAATTATGGATGATTTTTTGTTAAATTAAAAAATACTTTTCTTTTTAATCATAGATTTTTTTTCAATGAATAAAATTTGACACGGGTAATCTTATCTTCTTTTATTATTTTTAATTTAATTTATTATTTTTATAATTAATAACTATCAATTAAACACATTATTTTTTGACATGACAATTTCTGGATGAACGCGTGGTGGCGTGGGTGGAAGAGCAGAGCGTGAAATGTATCGCAGAGTGACGTCAAGTGTCACGGCTGCCGGAGAATCAAATTGGCACGCGCGATTAGATATTAATAACAATAATAAATAATAAAATTGGACACTGTAGGCCACGCTACCTGCAAGGAGAGAAGTCAAACATCTCTTCAAGTTGACAATAGCATGGTTTTATTAGAAGGAAAAAAAAGAAATACTATTTGAATTTAATAATAAAACTTAATTTGTGATATAATATCGCCTTAAATGATATAGTCATAATAAAAAATTTTGATAAATGGAGTCACAATAATTTTACTGTCACATCATTAAATTAATAAATTAAATTAAATTTTTAAATACAAATAGTATTATATTATAAATAAATAAATAAAAGAAAAAAAGGGGTAATAAATGATTCATATGACATGTACCTTCAAAAAGGGGTTTTTCAAAATAAATTTTTTTTTTTGAAATTCTAATTGAATCGATACCTGTAATGAGATATCATATTCATTTAGGAATTGCCTTTAAATAATATAATTTCAATAAAAAATTAGTTGGAGTCCGTGAAAAAACAAATAAAAAATATTTCTTGGTCTGGCCCGATCTCGGTTAAGCCCACCGGGTCGAGTCATTAAATCACTGAGATCCACCTGGAATATTCCACAGCAGCTCTTCATATTCCTTCCTCAAACATAATTACTCTTCTTCTTTTTTCTTTTTCTTTTTTGACTCTTTGGGTAATAATAATTTCATTTTGGAAAGACATAAATTATAGTAATAGCCCTGAGATTATGTGTTTCATGTCATTTTGGTCTCTATTCTTTCAACTATGTCATTTTTAGCCATTAAACATTTGGTTTGATAACTATTGTGAAAACTAATAACTAAAAACATCACATTTTATAAAATATTCTTTTAATCCATTAATTATCAATTTTGTCAATAATATTCTTGAAATTTTCAACCAAATTTTAAATAATTCTTAAAATTATTCATAAAAAATATTAGATTCATCACACAAAAATAAGACCCGAGTCTCACAAAAAATATTGTCTGCACTTTAAGAATACATAATAATAAAATTGAAAAAAAAAGTAACATCCCGGAACACTTTAATAACTAGAAATGTATTTAGTCAAATATCATGTGATATTTTTTACTATTAATTATATATTTTTTTTTGTTCAACAGTCAGGAATATTCAGATTAACTTATATGTATTATGATCAATCTCCTTTTGATTTGAATAAAGACAGACCATCTGCTCAGAAGATAAGGTATTTATCATAATTTGATTCCAAAGAGTTATCCGTTGAGATTATCCATTAAAACTTTTATTGTCGATTATGTCAATTCAAAATCGAATTTAAAATATCATAGAGTAGGATAGCGTAATTAATAGAATAGGAAACAAAGTAAAATAATATTTACCTTTCGCTTTGTTGGCCGGCTCCAAACCTCTTTCTTTTTCTGCAAGACAGAGAGAAAAAAGAAAAACCATAAACGTTACCAATCACACCCACCGGTTTCGATTACTCCGCTACTAAACCCTCTTTAAATACAACCCTAATCATCACCTTTCTCCGCACTACTCTCATTTCTCTCTCTAAAACACTACACTCTGCCTTTCAGTCATCTTTTCTGTCTCTAGAAAACTTCAGTCATCTTTTTTCTCTCATGGGTTCTGATAAGAAGATCAAGATCGGAATCAACGGTACTTGGATTTGTCTATGTTTTTTTTTAGATTTTATTTTCTTGAAAATGGGTTTATGGTTATTGATTTTGTGCTGAAATCTATCAGGGTTTGGAAGGATCGGTCGTTTGGTTGCTAGAGTTGCTCTGCAGAGAGACGATGTTGAGCTTGTTGCTATTAACGATCCCTTCATCACCACTGACTACATGGTACTGCATTTTCCCTGTAGAACTATTTTTTCCCTTATTTTTAAGCTTTATATTGGTTGTATTGATTCCTTGTGAGTTTTGTTATTTCTATTTGTGCAGACATATATGTTCAAGTATGACACTGTTCATGGCCAGTGGAAGCATCATGAGCTTAAGGTCAAAGACGAGAAGACCCTTCTCTTTGGTGAGAAATCGGTCACAGTCTTTGGCATCAGGTACAATTTCATGGTACAACTTGTTTTTCACTCGATATGAATTGGGAGAATTTGAACTAAAATGTTTGATTATGTAGGAACCCAGAGGAGATCCCATGGGGTGAAACCGGTGCTGAATTTGTTGTGGAGTCTACTGGAGTCTTTACAGACAAGGACAAGGCTGCTGCCCATTTGAAGGTTTGCTTGGATCTCGGTTCTTATATTTAGATTTTGTTGCTATTCCAGTTTGTGATGTTTCTGTACTGTGGGCTGATATAAGCCAGATCTGGTGGTATTTGCTCAAAATTATTTTTAGTGGGGTCTTGATGGAGTTTGATGTGATTTAGTTACATGTGTTGTCTTGGTTGATTTTCTTTTCTGGGTTTTATGTAAGTTTGAGTTTGTCTTATATTTCACAGATGATTTTGATGTGTTTTAATTTTAGGGGTACCCTGATTTGATTTTCTTTGCTAGATATGGTGGTTGATGATGCACAAAAATGGTTTTGCACACCACCCGTCAAGTGTAGATAATAAATGCAATGAAATCAACGAAAAAATTAAAGAAGACACAATTTATAGTGGTTCGGTCAATTCGACCTACGTCCACTCTTCAATGGCTTCAGTCGCCGGGTATTTTATTGATTCAAAGGTGTGGAGAATGGAGATACAAGCTTTGAGAGGGGGAGTGGAGAATCAGAGAAAATAATAATCTCCGGTAGTCGGTTCGTCTTCTGTAAGTCTCTGATGGAGCATGTCCTTCTCTCTACCAGATTGGAGCTATTTTATATCAGCTAAGAGATCATTCTTGTGGAGATCATGACATATCCTCAAGGCTTCTTTATCGCAGCTAAGAGATTATTCTTGGTGGAGATCACGACTTATCCTCAACGGAAAGAGGAGGTTGGGGAGCTCTTCATGAAACGTGGTCAAAGATTGAACCGTTTCCTTCGGTGGTACAGATAAGCTTCCCGTGCTCTTCTCTTGGTGACGTGCTAAGCAAGAAGTCTAACCGACCTTGGACTAAGCTTCTCGTGCTCTCCTTTTGATGACGTGCTAAGCAAGAAGTCTAACCGACCTTGGACTAAGCTTCCCGTGCTCTCCTTTTGATGACGTGCTAAGCAAGAAGTCTAACCGGTCTTGGACTGTCTTGGGCTTGGTAGAATCACAATGAGGTTGGGCTCCTCAACTAGGGTTGGACTTTAACACATAAATTGGACTATTTGGGCTTAACCCATCATTTGCCCCCCAATGCCCCATGTCCAAGGAGACTTGGAGAAGGAGGCATTGATTACATTTTTTTTTTTTAAACTTCAAATCTTTCCCATTTTATTTTGAAGAGGGAGTGGTGGAGGTTGAAGAAAGGGAGGAAGTAGGCACCATTTTGGAGAACTTGGAGGCTAGTTTTGGGGCAGCGCGAGGAGTGGCTTGGGCAGCGCAGGCGCGCTGGGTGCGAGGCTGGGCACGCAGTTGGGCAGCGCAGGCGCGTTGGGCGCGCGGCTGGGCAGCGCAGGCTCGCTGGGTGCGCGGCTGTGCAGCGCAGGAGCGCTGGGCAGCGCAGGCTCGCTGGGCGCTCGGCTGCGCAGCGCAGGCGCGCAGCTTTGGCAGCACAGGCGCGCGCGCGTAGCTGGGCAGCGCAGGCGCGCTGGGCGCGCGGCTGGGCAGCGCAGGCTCGCTGGGCGCGCGGCTGCGCAGCGCAGGCGCGCAGCTTGGCAGCACAGGCGCGCAGCTTGGCAGCACAGGCACGCTGGGCTCGCGGTTGCCTGGGCGCTGGCCTTGCTGTCCTGGACAGCCCAGGTGCGCTGGGCAGCAGCATTTTTCCATCAAGGGGCGCTGAAAATCAGTCCAAGGTTCGTCAGGGAGAGCTAGGCAGTGGCCTGGGATCATGGGCTGATCCGATTCCCACTCGAGGTGCTGATTTGGGTGTCTTAGGTGCTGATTTTTACGCCGAAAATTCTGTTTTGCGCAATTTTGAAGGGTCAGACACTCTTCAAGCTACTGGGCAACTTTGTTTTGACGAGCAACAACAGTCCGGCACACTTCTAGGCATTGGGCTAGACATTGCAAGTAGTAAGGAACCTTTGGGTGCTGCTCTTGATGATCAAGCCCTTCTCTAGGTGCTGGGCGTCTTGGGTGAGCCTGGGGCTGTCTCGGGAGAACCTACTTGTGATGACAAAATAATGTTTTTCCAAACATTAAAATATCTCACATAATTACCTGGAGAGAGAGAGAAGTAGGCTGCTTGCGCGAGAGCAAAGACAGAGTTGGAGAACTGCTCGTGAGAGAGCTACACTTTTTGAGACCTAACTTTTGGCGACCCATGAGGGAGTCTTTAAGCTTGAGGTATAAGCTTCCTGTTTGAGAACAGTGCAGAGGCCAAGTTTTTTCGGCGACCTGTGAGAGAGCCGCTAAGCTGGAGATAGGCTGCCTGTTTGAGAACAGTGCAGAGGCTAAGTTTTTTTTTTTTGGCGATCCGTGAGAGAGCCGCTAAACTAGAGATAGACTGTCTGTTTGAGAACAGCGCAGAGGCCAAGTTTTTTTTTTTTTTTTTTTTCCGTGAGAGAACCACTAAACTGGAGATAGACTGCATGTTTGAGAACAGTGCAGAGACCAAGTTTTTTGGCGATCCGTGAGAGAACCGCTAAACTGGAGATAGGCTGCCTGTTTGAGAACAGTGCAGAGGCCAAGTTTTTTGGCGACCCGTGAGAGAGCCGCTAAACTGGAGATAGGCTGCCTGTTTGAGAACAATACAGAGGCTAAGTTTTTTTGGCGACCCGTGAGAGAGCCGTTAAGTTGGAGATAGGCTGCCTGTTTGAGAACAGTGCAGAGGCAGGTCAAGTTTCTGGTGATCTGTGAGATGATTCAACTTGCCTAAACTTGTTGATTTCCTCAGCATTCATATATCTTTGAGCTTTTGTGAATAGTTCTGACATGCTCTTCGGTGGGCGATTCAGAACTGAGAAAAGGAAACTTGATGAACGGAGGCCACCCAAGAAGGCGGTCATCGCCACCTTGTCATCGGGTTCATCAACTTGGAGTACCTCCTCGTTAAAACGAGTGAGGTAACTCCTCAGGCTCTCCTCGCGGTCCTGCTTTATACTAAGCAGGTGCGTAACTGGCTTCTGGTGGCGACGCCCTCCTATGAAGTGTTAGACGAATGATCTGCTAAGCTCGGCAAAAGAGGTAATAGAGGCGGGGGAGAGCTTAGCAAACCACTGTCGGGCAGACCCCTTTAATGTGGTTGGGAATGCCCTGCACATGATTTCGTCTGGTACGTTGTGCAATTGCATCAAGGTCTTGTAAGTGTCGAGGTGGTCCAGTGGATCCTTTGTTCCATCAAAGGTCTCCACAGATGACATTTTGAACTTCTGAGGGAGGGGGTAGTTTGCTACATCAGGTTTGAAAGGGGTATCAGTATGCCTTACCAGGTGGTCAACAGTCTCGGGTCCTTGTGCCCTCATGGCGTTGAAGACATCACCGAGTTGATTCTGTACCTCCTTTATCTTCTCGTCCCAATGATTGGGGGCTCTTCTGGAATGATCATGGAAGTGGCTTCCATGCCCCATGCTTTGGTTTTCACCCTCATCCTCCTGGGGATAAGGGTCCTCTCCCTGGAAAGCAAGGGGAGGGGGAGGTGCAACTCCCTCATGTTGGGCTTTCCGAAGTGGGGTGCCCAATGGGGCACCCGGGCGTGGAGCAACAGGGCGTGGTGCTTCTTGATGTCCAGGATGTGGAGCTCCTTGGGGTGCTCTATGTTGTGCACCTCCGTGGGGCCCTCCATGTTGTGCACCTCCGTGTGGTGCTCCACCTTGGGGTCCTTCATGTTGTGGTCCTCCATGTTGTGCACCTCCGTGTGGTGCTCCTCCTTGTCCAGCAAGTATGAGTTGCAGTAACTGTTGGTTTTGAGCAACCAGTTGCTGCATGGTCTCCAATATTTGTTGGGGATTCGGGGGTAGAGTATCCGGAACAGGGTTGATAGGCGGGGGAGCAACCTCCTCCTCTCGTGGAGGATTGTCTTCGTGTTGGTTCATGGATTGAGTAGTGATCGCCATTAGTTAATAGATGTATTGTTCAGGAGTGAGAATTTTGTCGATTTCCCACAGACGGCGCCAAACTGATGATGCACAAAAATGATTTTGCACACCACCTGCCAAGTATAGATAATAAATGCAATGAAATCAACGAAAAAATTAAAGAAGACACAATTTTTAGTGGTTCGGTCAATTCGACCTACGTCCACTCTTCAATGGCTTCAGTCGCCGGGTATTTTATTGATTCAAAGGTATGGAGAATGGAGATACAAGCTTTGAGAGGGGGAGTGGAGAATCAGAGAAAATAATAATCTCCGGTAGTCGGTTCGTCTTCTGTAAGTCTCTGATGGAGCATGTCCTTCTCTCTACCAGATTGGAGCTATTTTATATCAGGTAAGAGATCATTCTTGTGGAGATCATGACATATCCTCAAGGCTTCTTTATCGCAGCTAAGAGATTATTCTTGGTGGAGATCACGACTTATCCTCAACGGAAAGAGGAGGTTGGGGAGCTCTTCATGAAACGTGGTCAAAGATTGAACCGTTTCCTTCGGTGGTACAGATAAGCTTCCCGTGTTCTCCTCTTGGTGACGTGCTAAGCAAGAAGTCTAACCGACCTTGGACTAAGCTTCCCGTGCTCTCCTTTTGATGACGTGCTAAGCAAGAAGTCTAACCGACCTTGGACTAAGCTTCCCGTGCTCTCCTTTTGATGACGTGCTAAGCAAGAAGTCTAACCGGTCTTGGACTGTCTTGGGCTTGGTCGAATCACAATGAGGTTGGGCTCCTCAACTAGGGTTGGACTTTAACACATAAATTGGACTATTTGGGCTTAACCCATCAGTGGTGATTGACCTTATTTGATTTGGTTTGCTTATACTTTGATATAATTACATTGAGTGGCATTTTTTCACTACCGTAAATTTTTGTTTTGTGATAATGTTTGACTTTTCCACTGGATCATCTTATTTGTTGTATTATAGTTATGAATAAATTGGAGGCGTTGTTTGCCTTTTTGCTTAAAAAATTTTGTTGAATTATTGAGTTTTGAAGTTTTTTGTGTCTGTTTGTAGTAGATGTGTTGTTGACTTGGATTGTTTGGTGTGATTAGGGTGGTGCAAAGAAAGTTGTCATTTCTGCTCCTAGCAAGGATGCTCCCATGTTTGTTGTGGGAGTCAATGAGAAAGAATACAAGCCTGAGCTTGACATTGTCTCCAATGCTAGCTGCACTACCAACTGTCTTGCTCCCCTGGCGAAGGTTTTCTGAGAACCATTATACTTCTGACAACTCTTGGTTCACTTGCCTGTTTGCTGTATCCTTATGCTTTCCACTTTGAACTCTTGCAGGTTATTAATGATAAATTCGGCATTGTTGAGGGTCTCATGACCACTGTCCATTCCATTACTGGTGAGTGATTGTTTGCCGTGTTAGTTTTATGGGTTTATCCAAATGAATTTGAAGATGGTTCTAATTGTCAAATAACAATACGTGGTCCAGCCACTCAGAAGACTGTTGATGGTCCATCAATGAAGGACTGGAGAGGTGGAAGAGCTGCTTCATTCAACATCATTCCCAGCAGCACTGGTGCTGCCAAGGTATATAGCCGATTATGGAATGAGATTCTCATCATATTGGATTAATTGTTTGATATTTTTGTTAGAACTGTGCTGCATTGCAACGTGTATTTAATCAGTATTACACGCTTGCTGGATTTTGTCCACCTTCATCTGTATTTTACAGTAATGAATTTTTTGGGACCAGAGAGCCATATCTTTGAGCTGATATTTTGAATTAACTTATTTTTTTAAAATAGGCTGTTGGTAAAGTGCTGCCAGCCCTGAATGGTAAATTGACTGGTATGGCGTTCCGAGTTCCTACTGTGGATGTTTCAGTTGTGGACCTAACTGTAAGGCTTGAGAAAACAGCTACGTACGAGCAGATCAAAGCTGCTATCAAGTAGGTTTCTTGAATATTTTCTGATTTCTAAGGGATAATTGTGTCACAATGTGCTATTAAAGTCTTATAACTAAATCAGATGGTTAATGGTTTTTTAAAGTCTTTGGTATGAAGACAATTGACATACTATACAACGCTGTTTCTTTGAGTTCCCCACTTTAATGAGTTGTGTAGTTTTTCCCTTGTTTATCTTCTGATTTTTATTCGCTGACTTGGTTGTTCACAGGGAGGAATCAGAGGGCAAACTCAAGGGTATCTTAGGTTACACCGAGGATGATGTGGTCTCCACAGACTTTGTGGGTGATAACAGGTGAAGATTGCTACATGGGACCCTGTTTTTTCTGATGGATCACCTAACAATCCCATGCGGGGAAACAAAATCAATGGTTTTAATGTGTGTGCGTGGTTCACTTAATGCAGGTCAAGCATCTTTGATGCCAAGGCCGGGATTGCTCTGAGTGGAAACTTTGTGAAACTGGTCTCGTGGTATGACAATGAATGGGGCTACAGGTAATATGTCCTCTTTTTGTGTATTATTGTCACTTTTGATTTGCTTGGTTCTGGTTAATCATTTATTTGATAGTAGCATCCTATATCTTCACTGCTCAATTGTTTCCTTACACGCTATTTTTTGCTGTTGCAGCTCCCGTGTGATCGACTTGATTGTCCACATGGCTTCTGTTGCTTGAGGCTTCCAATGATGATTTCAAAGCTCTGTTTTATTTTATATTTTTTGATTGGGGCCTAGAGTTTTGTTTTTTTGGCCTTCGAACTTGTAGTTGGGAATAAACAAGAGTGCGTTTATGCGTCGAGCCTGATGAATCTGGTTGGATTTTGTTTTGGTTTTCTAGTCATGTTGGAGTTGCTTCTTCCTTGCAAAGACAAAAAAGGAAACTAACCTTTGTCTTACTAGTTGTTGCAGATTTTGTCCTGGTGATTGTAGTCATCAGTCCTGTCTTTCTTGAGAGAAGAAGGATGAGTAATGTGGTAGTATTTTCCTTTATTATGCAAATAAAATATTACCATTTAATCATTTAGTTTTGTGTGTTTGATGATGATCTACCATCCAGACCAAAATAATCTTTATTTTCCATTCCTCCTAGGTGATTGCATTCATATTATTAAAGAGATTTGTACTAATTATGATAGGATGCTATTCCTCAAATAAACCACTAGTATGGTGTTTCAATAACATGGTGTATTCCTTTAGTTCCCTTTAATTTGAAGAGAAACCACAAGTTGAAAGAACATGTGAGGTTTATTGCAGAATCCAAGTGACCTAATATTTTAGCTTGGACCTCCTAAGTTTGGGGGATAAAAAGAACACTCTTTTTTCCAATCTACTTCCTATGGCCAAAATACCATGACAGTCTCTCTCTCATTGATGAAGGACCCATTGATGGAGGAGTTCCCATTATTTAGTAGAAATCATAACTTCACACTGGTGGGCCAAAAAACACATTACCGACAAGGGTGTTGTTACTGCCAGACAATATTTTCTATATAATTCACCATAAATTGAGCACATGCACTTCATAGCAAGAGAACCAAAAGCTTTTGCACAAAAAAAAGAATAAACTGGATCAATGAAAATTGAATGAGTTTACCCTTTACCCCCAATCACAACTGCATATTGGACCAATGAACCTAATGTTCGATTCCTTTCCAAACCAAACCATAAATTGTGTCTGGAAGATCCTTGACCCAGATTTAATTAATGAAGTTCGACGGAATAGCTTCAAAGAGAAGCAATGGAAAGAATATCATCTTATGCAGCAGCTTCATGGGAGGGATGCTATTTTAACTCAATTTAATGATACAATTTGTGGACCTAATCCAACCGATGCTATTGGATTAGGAGTGGGTCACAATATTGAATGAGATCCACAGTGAAAAAAAGGTCCAAATACCGTATCATGCTAAAAAATAGGATGAGTCTTTTTTACTTCCAAAAGTATTTCTTGGAAATGTCAACAGAAGCTTCAAATGGAATTGTTGTACACCTCTTGTTTGGTTCCATCAACATCTTGAGTAAAAGTTTACTTATCCAAAAAAACACACGTTCACTAAAAGTTACATCAAAACTTGGCTCAATATTAGCTTATTTCATAGCTGTCATTGGCAACAATTGCATAAGAAAGCTTACACAAAAAGTCAGTTGGAATTAATCCGCCCAACACTCGTCTGAAGTACTAGTTTGGATAGATTGCAGGGCTTCTTACATCACCATTCCTCCATCAATGGTCAAAACCTGCAAATATCATAGCAACATAAAATAGCTATCGATAACAAAAAAGAAGGAAACGGGGCATCAACAGAAGCTTTGCATTGTCAAACAGAGCTGTAAGCACAAACATATTGAGTTTGTTGGGTGCCACGCCTACTAAAATATAAATTGCAGATTGTGACAAAATAAATTCAATATGAATTTCTAGTATTTACAAACCTGTCCAGTGATGTAACTGGCTGCAGGGTTAAGGGCCAAAAATTTGACGAGTCCAGCAACTTCTTCTGGTTGACCATACCTTCCTGTATTAACCAGCAACAATTTTCCAATCATTGTCATTGCCTGATATACTTTTAGATTTTTTCAAAATTGGATTTTTAGAATTTCAATCATATAGATCACAAAAAAAGGCGCAAATATCTTCTTCAATGTTATGCAAACCATTTAGTCACTGAAATTTCTGCTCATCAATTGGAGTTATCTGATCACTGCATAATATGAACATTGGTTGACCAGTCAAAATATGGATTCCAAACTATGATTGATACAAACATTTGAGATATCAGCAGAAATGCAATGGCTTGAATGAGGTGCAATGTCATGGACATCTTAAAGACAAGAAATGCAGCAAGATTAACCAGTGACTCTTGCATGTGAGAGAGAGAGAGACTTGATAACTAGAGAAAAGGAAATTAGTCACAGTGAAAAAAGTTCATAAAACCAATGAGGGAAACAAAAGGGGAAGTCATCTATAATGGTTGCCTTGCAACATGCCATAAGATGTGGTTTGTGCTAGCAAGATAAATACATACGCCCTGAGATTTAACAGAACATATATAGAGCTGAATGCAAAAAAAAAATATGAAATTGCATAAAGGGGGACAGAGAGTTTGTGTGTGTGTGTGTGTGAGAGAGAGAGAGAGAGAGAGAATATTTTTCCTATGGATAAATATCTCACCCAAGGGGATGGTCTCCAAAATCTTTTTCTCAATGTCTTCTCCAAGCTTAGCAGTCATATCAGATGCAATGAACCCTGGGGCTACAGCATTGACCTGAGGATGTAAAGTCTTCATTAAACTTTATTTCCATGTATGAGTTTGAACTGCATCATGGCATGTGTCTGAGCACTAAAACTCATGTATATAACTCTGGGAAACTCACATTAATATTCCTGCTTGAATATTCCTTGGCCACAGTTTTTGTCAGGCCAATTACACCTGCTTTTGCAGCACTGTAATTGGCTTGCCCAACATTGCCAACAAGGCCAACAACTGATGCTATATTGATTATCCTTCCCTGTAAAAGCAGCAATTAACTGATGTCAGAGACTTTAGACCAAAACAACAAAAAAAAAAGTAAAATAACGGTGCCCAGTTATATCAAAAATTCAAAATATACTTTCTCAAAGCTGATTACATACATTCATTTTATATTTTTTCACCGTGTGCAATTTTATGAGGGATGGACAGCACATAGTTAACACAAATTGCTAATCCTTGACGACCCACGATCTGGGTACAACGATCCTAAATGAGGTTGGTTCGTGATCCAGATCGTCTAAATGTCCGACCCAAAATTGTTATACTAACTCCAAATCAATTCGTTTGGAACATGTATCACAAAAGTAAAATAAATATTAATTAACTATGTGCATATATAATAGGAAATTGAGCACAAATGTAAAATAAATAGTAATTGACTATGCGATTATGGATGTATTATTATATATAATTTCATATAGTAGTGAAAGCAATCTAGATAAGGATTATAAAATGAATAATTTTGTATCAGTTAAACTACTCTCATCGCACCACATATGTAAGAAAGTATCGTACCACATACCCGCACCATATACTAAATTGACCCAAGATCTAGATAACATTGAAAACATGCCAAGGTTCCCCAAATAAGGTATTCTTACTTATAGATATCATGACAATCCATTGCCATAAAATTGATGGCAATTCAAACACATTTTATCTATAACTTTGATATTAATTCCTGAACCGAATAACCAGAGTATTGAAGCAAGTTGAAACACATCAAATTCATCATTAAATTCCAGACCATATTCTTGGGCAGCACCTTAGCCTATGACTGGCAGAGCAAGTACAGAAAACCAATACAGCCAAAAATTGTGACATTAGAATACCTTTCTCTTCTTCATCATTATTTTTGCTGCTGCCTGCAAAGAGTACAAGATCTTAGATCCAAATAAAAGAAGACAAGAAACCATATCTGTGGACAGTTAGAGTTGTGAAGACAATACCTGTATACACAGGTATACACCCGTGAGATTCAGATCAATAACCTCCTGCCATTGAGGTGTCTTCATTCGCATCAACAACCCATCCCTAGTAATACCTGAAACCATTCCATATTTGATAGTAGGTTATATTTTCCAAATGCATACATAACGAAACAGGGGTGGATTTTTCAATAACCTGCATTGTTTATTAGGATGTCAACAGTCCCCATGCATCGACTGCCTGTAGATGCGACAATCATGAAGAATACTAAAATTAGCAGCATACTATGTTAACTAAATAATCAGCACATGAAGACTGGCTCACGGTTTTAATCATCGCTTCCACATCTGCTTCTTTGGAGACATCTCTCTCCAAAAGTCAGAGCTTGACCACCGCATGCCTCAATCTGCAAGCACATATAATAGGTTATCACCTATCATTTTCAATTTCAACAATATGACACAACACCATAATTATTATATATGCTCTACC